TCGGTAAAAACCAAGTCTCCAAGGTCGTACATCACGTGCGTGCTGTTTTGACCGTTTTTCACGTGTTAGACCGATTGACCAAGATACAAAAGTGGTTTTTATGAAATAATTATTTGGGAACCTTTTAAATATGCTCAGATATAAAAACAAGGTTTAACACATTGAAAACCACCGAGTTGGTTCGGGCGCCAAAAACGGAACGCCGAACACCGTACGCCGACATAGGTGATTTTGGTTCTGAGCAAGGACCAGGGATTTTAACAATAAAAAATTTATCAAAAATGTTTATTTTGATGCACAAAAATATTTTATGATTTTGTAAAATTATTTTGACTCTTTGAGAACCGAGACTTGAATTGATTGTCGGTTTTGATCAAAAGACCGACTCGACTAAGTCTTCAATTCTTGATCTTGTCCTTGAGTCTTTTGGGTCTTGTTCCTTGCCATTCTTCGCGCCTTGAGTTATTCAACGAAACTCTTTATATCCACGGCGGTTTGGCAATTATCAAAACCTGTCGGAAATGAACACGACTTTAGTTAAACGTGCAAAGTGTGTTCCAACAGCCTTAGTGAGCGGGCCAACGGTGGTGATTACCTTGAACCGTTCAAGGATGTCCATCACCACGAACGGGTACGGGAGGAGGTGGTCGTGGTCGGTGGACGCGGCAATCGTCATGTTGATCATGACAAACTTTGCCCAATTGATTGGGGCCGAGTGCATGATCGCATGGATGAGCTTGAGGTCCTCACCGGACATGATTATGTGGCCGTGCTTCCGGGGTTTGATGATCCGGGACACGATGTAGAGAACGAGACGGCCTTCGAGGTTAGCGGAGTGGATGGTGGGGCGGCCCGAGGCATGGCGGATGAGCTCGGTGATGCCAAGCTCGTTGAGGATATTACCCTCGTTGTTGAGCACCCAGTCTTCTCCGCCATAGTGGGAGACGTCTTCGCCTTGGAAGGGGAGGCCAGCGATACGCCCAAGATGCTCCACGGTGAGCTCAATCGGCGTGCTCTTGACAAGCGAGTAGAGCATGTCGTCCTCACGCCGGAGGCTAGAGTAGAAGGCCCGGATCAGCGCCGGGTTGATCTCCTTTCGCGCCCGAGAGATGAACGGCCAAAGGCCTGCTTGATGAAGCTGCGCGTCGAGGTCGTCGTAGCCTTGCAGCTCCGGGTAGTGCTCTAGGATGATCCGTGGGGGAGCCACAACCCGTTTAGAGAAGAAGGTGAGAAAGCGGGTGCGCTCCTCCTCGGAATCGAACCAGAGGTACGATCCGTCACCACAGTAGAGGCGCTCCTCGGAGTTGGTTGACGGTGCCCGGGATTTAGACTTTGATTTCCCGGAGGTAGCAGCCCTGCCCTTGTCTTTGCCCATGGTGATGAAGAAATCTCAAGAAAAAAAGTGGTAGAGAAGATAAAATATGCAAGGAGATTGAAGAAGATCGAGTTTAGATGTGAGAAGAAGGTGAGTAGGAGGCCAAATATATATATATATAGGATTAGGTTTCCAACTTTCAAAAATTCAAAAATCTGGCAGTTGGAGCATTTAATTCAGTGCCCAACGGGTATATTTTTGAAAAAAATCTGTTTGAACAGCGATGTTCCAAAGGCGACATCAATGTTGGGACAGCGTTGTTGGGCCTATGTACAACGGTGTTCTGCGTCAAGTTTTAAAAACAGCTGTCAAATGGACAACGATGTTGGGTTCCCTACAGCGATGTTCCAAATCATTCTGGAATTGTGTAAGGGTTTGAACCCATTAGAACAGCGCTGTTGGGTATCTCTACATCGCTGTTTTTACGATAGAAAAAATTTGTACAAATGAACAGCGATGTTGCAATGGTGGACATCGCTGTTGAGAAACGTTCTGGTTTTGCTTGAAAACATGGTGTTTAGGGAGACATCAATGTTTAGATATGCTACATCGATGTTCATAAAGTTTCTGGAAAGTAAAAAATAGGAAGACTCCCTGTGACAGCGCTGTTGGTGTATGGTTCAACGCTGTTGTCCCAAGTTGGTTGACAATGTTTTTTTCAACAGCGATGTTAGTTTCCTAGACAGCGCTGTAGGAACAGCAATGTTGTCCTTCTTACAGCGCTGTTTGCATGGTTCCCCCTGATTTTGTGAACGGGATACCTGCAAAAAAGAACAACACTTTGGTACCCAAAGTATGTCTATGGGTCCTTGGGGGTTAGTTGACCTTTATTGCCCACGCACACACACCCAAAATTTGTTTCCTTACGCGCGCGCGCACACACACACACACGATTAGATGATCGTTTAGGAATTACCTTGGCCAACCCGTCGTCTCGTGGTTGGCGGGTTCCAGTCTACCTGAACGGAGTGCCGATATCTCGGTGTGGTCTGTGTCGGTTCCGGTAACGGAATGTGGACTTTCTTCTTTTCGTCAAAGTAGAAGAAATAATACGGTTTCTTTTGTGCGTTTTCCTGTGGAGATTGCCTATGATACGAATGTTCTTTTCTAAAGGATTTCTTTTCATTAGCACCAGAGATGTTGTGTGTTTCATTATATTTGGAGTGCCTATGTCTGGTAAAACACACGAAAGCTATATGGCCTATCCTATTACAATAATGGCAAACTATGTTGGGATTGTGCATGTGCCTAGGTTCATAATAGTTAGAGGGTCTAACCATATTGTTTCTATTTTGTGAAAAAGATGGTCTTTGAGAGTTTTGAAATTGGCCCTTTTTAGGTGCTCTAACATTATTTCTTCTATTTTGAGAAAAATCGGTTTTATGCACAAAAACATTTTTCTTAGGTTGTCTACCATGAACATTTTCATTCCTAGGTTTTAGTCTAGGTTGTCTAGTGTCCTTAGGTTGACTAGGTTTTCTATTATTCTGATTTTTAAGTTTCTTACGTTGAGCCTTAGGTGGTTGTTTAGGTGGTTTCTCAACGCTTTCTTTATCCTTAGCCCCATTAAAACCTATTCCTTCTTTAGAAAAATGCATGGTGTCAAGGAGTAAATTAAGATCTTTATGTGGAGTATTAAATTTCTTAACCGTACTCTCAAGTTTTGTGACTTGTTACTTTAAAGCTTTACAAGATTCACATTTGTTTGAGGAACTTTCCGGTTTGTCGGCGCTTCTTTTGCCATAAAACTTATTTTCTTGTTTTAATTTCTCATTATCTTTTTCTAGATTTTCAAAATCATTTTCAAGAGTGGATAGGCGTTTCTTTAACGATTTGTTGATTTTAGAAGCGCTAACAAATTCATCATAAAGTTCATGAAGTGCTTCTTGCATTTCTTCAAAAGTGTAAGAGTCGGAAGAAATGGTACATACCTCTTGTACATCGTCGGTTTGGTCCTTGTGTGCCATGAGACAAAGGTTGGCGGCTTCATCCTCTTCTTGGTCGGTTGACTCGTCGCCGGAGTCGCCACCCCACGAGATATATGCTTTTTGCTTTTTGAAGTGACGAGCACTCCTTTCGCTTCTCGGGCATTTGTTCTTGATGTGCCCGGCTTCACCACATCCATAGCACACAGGACCATCCTCAACCTTCTCTTTCTTCCTTAGAAGTTTACAAAACTTCTTCATGACCAGCTTCACTTCATCATCGTCACTTGAATCGTTCATCGTTGATTCTTTGACAGCTTTTAATGATATGCCTTTCCTTTGGTCATTCAAAGACGGGTTAAGTATAGTAGATTCATAAGTTTTTAAATTACCTCTTAAACCGTAGATGGTGACATTTGACGTGCCAATTGACTCATAGATGGCATTGGCCTTAGATCGCCATTCGGATGTCAAGCTCCGTAGGATCTTTCGTACAAGATCCCTGTCGGTGTAAGTCTTCTTCAACGCATGAAGGTCGTTAACAATCTTGGAAAATCGGTCGAACATTTTGTCGATCTTCTCGTGATCCTTCATTCTAAACATCTCATACTCTTGGGTGAGGAAGTCGATCTTGGCTTCACGTACTTGGTCCGTTCCTTCGTACGTCACCTCAAGTTTGTCCCACATCTCCTTGGCGGTTGAGCAGCAAGAGATTTTGCGGTAGTCATTAGGATTTACGGCACAATAAAGAATGTTTATTTCCTTTGCATAATTCTCAACTTTTTTGATGTCCTCGGCATCAAATTCATCTTCGGTCTTTGGGATCAATTTGTCCTCGATTTTCTTCATCGGCACCTCTTCCCCGTTTTTGATAACTAACCATAATTGGAAGTTCGTAGAACGAATATAGATTCTCATTCGTTCTTTCCAATATGTATAGTTGGTTCCATCAAAAAGAGGTGGCCGTGTGGTTGAGTGCCCTTCACCTATTCCTGCATACAAATTTCTAGAAGAAGAACCCATGATCGCTTTACTCTCAAACGGTTAAGTTTAGACGCGAGTTAGGCTCTGATACCAATTGTTAGAATAAGTGACCAATGCTAGAGGGGGGGTGAATAGCGTTAAATCGTAGAAATCGCAAGAATAAAAAAATTAAGAGCGTGAAAAGTAAAGAGCGTAGAAAGCGTAAAGGGAGCACACCAAGATTTATACTGGTTCACCACAACGTGTGGCTAATCCAGTCTCCCGAGAGACTCTCTCAAGCTACACTACTTCCGTTAAGCTTACGGGTGCTTAACAAACCGTTACAACCTGAGAACTCGAGTCCCACGAGCCTCAACAACACTTCCTCGGAGATACCACACTCCAAGACTTCAACCCAAAGGAAAATACCTTTCCTTCGTACAACCAAGGGAAACAAACTTCCCTTAATGTCTATGAACACTAAGAACACTCAAGAACAAGGCTCTCTCAAAAGAGTGAATATGAGTAAAGTAATACGCTCAAGATCACAACACGAACTTCACAAAAATGGCTCTCGAAAAGCTATGAAAAATGTATGAATAATATGCAATGAAAGAATAGGAGTTGTGAAGTCATGTGATATGTAAAACAGACCCAAACACCCCATTTTATAGTGGAAAAATAGGCTCCAACGGACCAAAACATTTAAGGGGTGATTGGTACAATTTGTGGGATTTGATTAAATTTGGATCTGCTGAAATTCACCGAGACAGCGTTGTCCTAGGCTTGGACATCGCTGTTCTAGGCTTGGATTTTGAAAATTGGGAAGCAACGGTCATGCCAACAGCGATGTCCAATACCCCTACATCGCTGTTTTGGCTGTTGACTTCCAAACAAGGAAAGTTTTCGCCTTAAATTCCTTCCAACGGTCAGGTCCCTACATCGATGTTCATTAATGAACATCGTTGTTTAGGTCTGACTTTTGAAGATGGAACTTTGGCCTGACAGCGCTGTTGCTGGGTCAACATCGCTGTCCAAATACTTTCTGCCAATGCACTATATTTTTGGCTTAGGTTGGACAGCGCTGTAGGGAAGCCTACATCGCTGTTCCAGAAGTTTCTAGAAATCCAACCTTGGCTCAACAGCGATGTCTAACATCCAACATCGCTGTTGGAAGACTTAACGTCAAACCATAGTTTTCAGCTACCCAATCTAGACAGCGCTGTTGGTTACACCAACATCGCTGTTGGGCTGGTTTAGCCAGACTAATGGTTGGTTTAGTCAGCCGTTAGCCGATGTCAAAAATGTAAGTTCTCCAAAATAAAAACCAAGTATTGAAAATGTTTGTTCAATGCATTTTGCTAAGAAATCAAGTAAAACATTTTGAAAACCACGTCATTTAGTTGAAAACCACGGCTAGCCAAGTTTATGCCCTTTCGCATGGTTTTTACTAAACGACCAAAAATGAAAGGTGGTTTTTGAAGCGTTTTTGTTGGAGAACTATTTAAATATGCCCAAAAAAAACCAATAATTAAAAGTTGAAAACCACTTGGTTGATTCGAACGCCAAAAACCAATGCCGATAACCAAAAGCCGAACGCCGGTTTCCGAAGACCAAACACCGGATGGCTTGGTTTTTGGGTTGGGCGAACTCCAAGTGTTTTTAGGCAGGTTTAAGACTTAAGAAAACCATTTTGAATATGCAAAAAGTATTTTGATGAAATGAGCCTAGAGAGCCATGTTTTGAAAGTTTGTGCCGGTCTTGATCACATTAAAACCGACTCAATATAATTCTAAGTCTTCGTTCTTGATTCTTGGTTCTTGGTTCTCAGTTCATCATGCCATGATCCTTCGCCTTGGTTTTGCTCAGTTTAACTTTGTTATTGTCACGGCGGTTTGGCATTATCAAAACCTGTCATAAAACGAACACGGCTTAGTACGACATAGGCGTAAACCCGTGTTCCAACACAGGTTTCTACATCAAGCTGTTGAGGACAGTGGTCCTTTGGAGAGACTTCCTCATTTGGTTCATTCTGCACCAAGTTATCCGGATTGGCATTTCCAGATGTAGAGGGAGAGGAAATTCTTCTCTTCTTCTTCTTCTTCTTCTGAAGTTCTCCTTGAGCAGAGAGTTCTTCTTCTTCATCAAGATTAACCACTACAAGGGTGTGTGCTTCTTCAGCACTGGGGGAGGAAGATACCACTTGCTTCCTCTTTGAGGATTTCTTCAGACTCACAATCAGAACATTGTCTGAAGAACCTTCATCTTCTGTAGTAGAACTAGCTCTGTTTTCACCCTTGGTTGACAGATAGTACAACCAATATCTGGCATCATACTTCTTGCCTTCAAAGGCAACACCCAAGGATTCCAGAATATGTCCAAGGTATAAACCTTGACAGAGATACTTCTGCTTGGGCTTCCCTAAGTGCTTGGAAACTGAATTGAAGAAGTGTTTAGCCCAATTTACCTTAGTCCTGGTAATGAGGGCGTTGATGATGAAAGCCCTTTCCTGGGTTATATCATCTGCATGTCCTCCACTACCACATTCTAGACATGCAATGACCAGCTCTAAGACTAATTTATAGTCATTCTTCAAATCGGCCTTCTTTGCTGGGCCAGAGGGGATTTGTCCAGACATCTCAATTGTCTTCCAGTCTAGATTTTTGGACGAGAGCTTCCCAATGTCAATTCCAGAGTTGGGAAGATGGAGCTTCTTCTTCAACTTCATCTGTGAGATCTTCACTTTGGCGCCTCTAACAGTGGACTCAATGACTTGAATCGTCCTCTGTGGATTCTTCTTAGATTGAATGGTTGAGACTTTTCCATTCTTGTAGAATTCAAGAACTTCTTCTTCATGCTTGAAGCGAATCTCCATATGAAGGAATTCAGAGAGTACCAGATGTACACTTCCGGTCAACTTTGCATCCGGCAAAGTCAGAATCTAAGTATCCCACTAACTCAAATGAGCTGCTCTTAGCATACCATAAACCCATATTCTGAGTTCCTTTGAGGTATCTAAGAATCCTTGTGGGTGCTATTAGATGACTTTCCTTTGGCTTTGATTGAAATCTAGCACAAACACCTACTGCATATGAGATATCCGGACGGCTTGCAGTAAGGTAGATAGAGATCCAACTATTCCCTTGTAGAGAGTTTGCTCAACATCCTTTCCATCTACATCCATGTTAAGTTTGGTGGATGTACTCATGGGGACAGAAACAGATGACTTCTGATCAACTTTGAACTTCTTGATGAGATCCCTTGTGTACTTGGCGTGGTTGATGAGAGTCCCTTCACTTCTCTGCTTGATTTGAAGACCAAGGAAGTAGTTGAGTTCCCCCATCATGCTCATCTCAAATTTGAAGACCAAGGAAGTAGATTTGAACCAATAGGAGATCTTCTCCATCTTGAAGTTTGAACAGGGTCTTGTTAATGACTCCTTTGATGAATCCATTGTCTATTAGGAATGAGACAATGTATCATACCAAGCTCTTGGTGCTTGTTTAAGTCCATACAGTGCCTTTTTGAGTCTATACACTTGATCGCCTATAGTGTGTAACTCAAATCCTGGAGGTTGTTCCACATAAACTTCTTCCTCTATGTTTCCGTTGAGAAATACGCTTTTGACATCCATTTAATAGACTTTGAATTCCTTATGAGCAGCAAAGGCTAGAAATTGAAAGATAACCATGCAAGGATAGGCAGCGGAATATAAAAATTTTAACATCCTAACATGATTATCTTGCCCAGAATCACGTACTAAAACTTATAGTGAGTAAGAAATTTATACCTTTCTCGGTAAGCAGTAAAAACGAAGAAGTCGTAGGAAGAGCGTTGAAAGTGCAAACGTAACCGTTCAAGCGTCCGGTCTCCAACTTTGACACACGAACAACGCCGGAGTCTACCACAATCTTTATGCTAGTAAAGATTATAGTAGTATAAAATATAAAGATTAAAATTTGGGATAATAATAATCTTGTATATTTCTATAGAAAATATTTCTAAAAATATTTAAAAATATTATAGATATTTTCTATACACAAAATGATATTATGGAATCAAATAAAACCACTTTCTCTCACTAAAATGGTATGGCCGAATCTCCCTTCACACACACACAAAAACTAATTTGCAAATGGAGTGCATGTTATATTTAAATAAAACATGTATGTTTAATTAATTTGTCATTAGCTAAATGACAAAACAATTAGCCCACTAATTTTATCAATCAAGGAAAGTTAAAACAAATTTGTCAACCCCTTAAATGATATGGCCGTATGTTATGATTTGAGAAGGATTTTCAAAATTCTTCTCCACTTAAATGTTCAAAGTGTATTTTATTTGACACCAAAAATTAATATAAAATTAATTTTAAATCAAATAAAATACCAATATCATTTTAAACAAGTATACAAATATACTTTAAATAGTTTATGTCA